CCCCAAAACCCCAAAACCCCAAAACCCCAAAACCCCACAGTAAAATCATATATAGAAAGCTTAAAATTACTTTTTAGCTTCTAAATCTTGCTCCTCTATAACATCTATCTGTCCTAAGCCATGAGTCTCCAACAACTCTTTTACTTTATCTTTTGAGATAATGCTAGCATACAACTTGATCTTCTTCAAACTCTCCTTTAATCCTGACTGAGCGATGGCCTTGACAATTGTCTCAAATTCTTCAGGATGTTCATCCCAGGTGTTTGTCACATATTTTTTGTCGTTAGTATACTGGACACTAAGGCACTCGATCTTGTACTCTCCATCATCTAAAACCTCATCACACCCACCCAAAATCCTCAAACTTAAGTCCAAATTCCTACAATTTTCCTGGCCAAGCCGCTAAGAACCACATATCTAAAAAAAAACTATCTAAAACGCAAAAGTGCTGGTCTCAGCTAGTCTAAAGCTACAAACGACTTATTCTCTGAGGAAGAATTCATATTTTGGTTAAGAAAATTGGAATGCTGGCTTACCGATGCTGAAGTCCATTTCTTCTTGAGTATCAAACTGACCAAGTCTGAATACAACTTTGGGTATTTTATGTGCAGCTTTGATGATTTTTTCTAAGTCTTTTGAAGAGAAATTGAAAATTTGGAGGTATAATTCTTGAGTAACGCTTGGTATAGCTTTTAGAAGACCTTTCATGATCTTTGAAATATCTATTAATTTAGTTCCACATCTATTTAGTATTAGCATTGAAAGTTTGTCAGGAATTGAGCTTAATAAGAATTGATCCACAATTTCAGTACAGTCGTGCATATGCTGAAGTTTCATCCAATTGATATTTGGGAGTTGGATCTTTCTTGATCCAAGCTCTTCTATCAGCTTTTTATGTTTTTCGTTACTCAAATCAAGGTCAAGCTTGAAAAGAGAGTTGAGACTAACTTTTCCACCCATCATGTCTTTGTATATTTCCTCACATTTTTCAGCTCCTATGTGCTTTTGTAAAGTTCTACTCTGTTCTTCAAGCTTGATGGTATTGGTTTTCACTTCTAAATTAGAGTAAAACAAGAACTACTAATATCAAAGAAGTAATATTCATACATACCTTCGACAAGTCTGGCATTCTCTTGCTTGACCTGGTCTCATTCGGTCTTGAGGAATTCAAGTTGATCATTTAGTGAATTGCTCAATTGTTTTCCTCTTTCAATTTCATTTCTGTCAAACAATGATTAGAGTATCAAAAGTAGTGATGATAATGAAATGAAAAATTACTCTTTGTTTTGCATTTCTGCTCCAAGATCTTCCACTATTTGTTCGCCTCTAGCTTTATCTTGATTCAATTGTTCAATTTGACTTTTTAAACTTTCTATTTCACCTTGATATTTCTGGTTAATCTCATTCTCAATCTGCTCTTTTGCCTAGAAAAAATAACCCCATCATATTTATAAGAATAAAATTCCCTTGAGCTATCAGGCTTACACTTCCAACAACTCTTATAATATCTAAACAATCTAGCCTAACCTTCATAAAAACTTCTCTAATTAAAAATCAAGGATAACAACATAATTCCTTAGTCTCATTCACACTCCAGTAACATATAACCCTAAAATCCAACCTGCCTAATGCATGTTTGTTCCCCTCCGCACTACCCCTACCTTCTGAATCTCCCTTCCCATCTTCTCCTCCATAACTCTCTTATTATCCTTAGCTACCTCCCTCACTGCCGACATGAACTCATATGAATTCTGGATTTCAACTATTTCATTATTCTACAAATGTACCTTTCTGAGAGTTATCTCTAAATTCAATAAATTAGACAGTAAATAAGATTGGTTAGGATTTTATGATTGGAAAACATAAAAGATTCATAATCAAAGAGAGATTAAAAATGAGGTACCTTCACAACTCGGAATCAAACAGAAGTCTGAGAATTGGATTCTGACCTTTTACATTGCTATAATAAGAAGGTTATAGTTTAAATTAGAAGGGTGTAGGCATCACTTACTTTCCAAATTTTCCTTCAAAAATCTCTGACTTGAGCCTAAAATAATATAGATATGAATCTCTAAATATGTTGTGCTTACCTTCTGGCTTGTTTCACAAGTGTATGGAACTGTATAAAAGAGTTATCACGTAATGCCTGTCTGACCTCTCTGTCATAGACCTCAAACTCTTCATGGATAGCAGTAAAGACTTGCTCTAAGCCACAGATCCTTTGCATCAGACCATTCTGATATGCTTTGAGCTTAAGGTCTTTCACAAAATCATGCAGGAGTTTAACAACTAACTTGAGCTCATGCTTGTCACAATATTTATTGACCTCACAGTCATAATGGATGGTGTCACAACAATAAGCACAGATTGCTTCTTTATGATCGAGACAAATGTATTCTCTTTTACTATTCAAAGGTTAGCCTTGTCATCATAAAACTGGGGAACTTACTTAGTGCAATTGGCACTGCTACATCTGATTCTAGAAGGTCAAGAAGAACTTACTGTGGATTGGGCATATTTAATTCCATTTTGTCTAATACTGCATACTTCTATAGATCAAATAGAGCATTTTTTAATTATTTATTTAAAATTACAACTTAGTAATTCTGAAATGGGGTTTTGGGGTTTTGGGGTTTTGGGG